GATTTAAATGGTCCATTGATGTCAGGGGATGTAAATCTTCGATGTGAATTGAAACGCATTTTCCTGTACAATCGCACTAAGTACAGGGAGGCGTCAAGGCCGTTACGCAGTAATCACATTCTGCAGCTAATTATTTTGATCTGTGGTAGTAATCAAGCTCCGTCAACGTCGTTAATTATTATCCGCTATACAGCAAGCATCAAACTGACAGGCGTCTGCCGTCATATCACCTCGCATGGCTTCTACTGCTACTGCTACTGCTGCTGCAGCTGCAGCTTCTACTGCTACTGCTACTGCTACTGCTACTGCTGCTGCTGCTGCTACTGCTACTGCTACTGCTACTGCTACTGCTGCTGCTGCTGCTACTGCTACTGCTACTGTTACTGCTACTGCTACTGCTACTGCTACTGCTACTGTTACTACTACTGCTACTGCTACTGCTACTACTACTACTACTACTACTGCTACTGCTACTGCTACTGCTACTGCTACTGCTACTGCTACTGCTACTGCTCGTTTTCCTGTGATAATATGCCGTGCAGCGCCGCGTTCTCTTCAACGAATTTCTAACTCTTACGGTACCTCACATTCTCACTCTCACTGCTTCTTACCGAGACGTGATCAGCACGCAGCAAAACTCGTATCGGGTTTAGGTTTGAGCTCTACGAACGATAAGGCCATTTTAACGCGCCAACTTTCGTGTATTATCATCGAGAACAGCAGTACGGTGATTACAAAATCGCGTTTAAATATTAAATAATTGCGAAATGTTTGTGTTTAAATATTAAATCATTATTTAATAATTGCGTTTAAATGCACCCCTCGTACTTGTCTACCTCTGCGCGCGTGACGGTGCGGTACTACCACATGACTTTCCCTCTTACTCTCGAACATTTCACCATGTCGTGTCACTATGCCACCAGGTGTCGCGTGCGGTGCTGTACTACCACGTGACTTCCCCTCTCGAACAAGGGTCCCTGTTCTATACGCACCCGGCAGTTAGATGCGATATGATATGACTACTAGGCACTTAGGATATGACTACTAGGCACCTAAAAAATAGGCACCTAGGCACCTAGGCGTTCTATACAGGGACCCTGATCTTACCCTGTCTTGTCGCTCTGCCACCAGGTGTCGCGTGCGAGTTTGAGAGCCGTGGCGAGCGAGCGAGTGGCAAAGCTAAGCGACCCGAAGAAGGTTCCAGACGCTTACATGCCTAGCATCGACCAAGGCTGGGGCGTAGACGCTGCCGTGCTGAGGTAAACTAAAAATCATATTAATCGTTATCGTTAATCGTCAAAATTATCGTTTTATTTTTAATTATATTTTTTATAATTATTATTAACTCTAACTCATTATAAATAACGATATTATAAATGTTTTATTTTGCGAGATTTTGTTTTGCGGATTTTTGAAGGGGCCCCTCAGTGAGTGAGTGGTGCGGTTAATACTGCGAGAGTATACATTCACAAGAACACGCTTTATTTCTTTCATCTGGACCTAATCGCTCCCTAGATTATTGATTTTGTAGGCAATTAACTCTTTAAAATAAATCACATGGATCCAGTCTACTTGCTATCTAGCCAAACAGCCATTAAAGAGACACGATCTGACATTTGGTTACTTTCGAGCACATCTTTACATATTTTCTATTTTTGATAATTTTTCGCATTTTTCTCATATTTTTTTCATTCGCATAACACGATCATATCTGTCTCTGCCGGGTCGTCTGTTCAGATACACAGCATCGGAGCGGGTTAACCAGCTTGCACAGCCGATCGTGCGCGCCACGATGGACCTCGTGCAGTTCAACTCGGAAGCGTTCCTGGTCAGTAGGAGAGCGTTGAAGGCGAGCTGCACACCCAGGCTAGAAGAACTCTCAGAACCCACGCTGCGGGGCGCCAAGTGACGCAGCGCCATCTGATGGCGACCTCGCGAACTACGCACTTCTTCCGGGGGAGAAACGGGGCACCGGCATTCCGAGTGTTACTATATTGTATCCGAGAGGAAAGAGGTGCGTTTTTGAAATTCGCAGTGCGCGAAAAAGATGTGGAATAGAAAAATAAGGATAGAAATATGGGTGGGGTGTTTTCACACTGATAAAATGCTGGTTGTTTTCAGACCAATATTATTTTAGAAAAAAAAGCACGCGTCGTAATCATGATCCGAGAAACACCAAGAACTATGATTATATTATATTCGGTTCTATATAGTTGTTCCTACATAAAAAAATTGTTTCATTAAAATGAAAACCTTGTTGATTTTGTGAGAAAACGTGTGGATTTTGTTCAGAAACGCTATATATAGGCCAAGGGAATGTTTATGAAAAAAAATTGTTTCAAAAACGGGTTCGGACTAGTTTTTGCTGGAAGTGCACCAACCGGAATACGTCGGCAGCCGACAAAATCTAACGATTGTGTTGTAGAAATCTGTGAGACACGTGTGGGGGTTGTACAGGTGTGTGTGTGTGTGTGTGGGGAGGGATTACAGGTGTGTGTGTGTGTGCGCGCGCGCGCGTGTGTGTGT